GTTTAACAATCGACCATCTCGGTCGAGCGCATGAAGAGAAATGATTTTGTGTTCCCATATTTTCGTAGCACAAGCCTAAAAAGTGAGGAGCCGAGCAAGTACCAATGCTCGAAAATAATTGTGCCAAACGCTTTGCACTACGTGTCCGGTCTATGTGTTGTCTGGTAAGTGATTGTGTGTACGCATGGGATGCGATGCTCACAATTATCGGATATCACTTATAGAAGCTTTTGTAAGCCCGTGTGCCTTTGAGTAGATATTGCTTGCATTCGAGTATATCATATTTGTTCGATAACTCATCTGATATCTTTTTATCGAGAATAATCGACACATTGATTTCGTTATTTCACCTTAATTTGAATACTATTAGACCTGGAGATGTCCGATTCATTGTGCGTATATGTGTATTTAATAGATAAAAAGATTTTATAATCTACAGATTTTAGATGCCGTGTGATTTCGTTACTAATTTGTAAAAAACGTATTTCAAGTACAGCGACTTGTGCTTTGAAATATGCACACATTTGAAAATTATGATCATGTTTCATAAAGATAGTCTAACAAGAAAGATTATGCAAAACATAAATTCTCAGCCTAAGCACAGCCACTGCTAAGGAAAGGACTGATTAGTAAAGAACGTGCTTATACTTGCGTGTGGATATTATTTTGTGTGTTGGCATAAAATAAGTGCATAATGATTAGAATACAAAGTTTAGGCTTTCTCCTATTCGAGCAGTCTTGACTAAAGCACTCTTACTTGCTAAAAACTAATTTCAATAAAAATGATTGGTTTTAATTTACCTGTCTGATAAGTGACGCATATGTAAAAGGGGGACGTACATCAGCATTTTTATAAAATTCCCTATTGCGTTGAATTTCTGAAAAAAAGAAAAAGAAATTGTCAGTAAAAGAAATAAAATTGTTGGAGGCGCTGCTCAGTGGTTGCGCCCATAGGCCAAAAATAGAACTTTTCAAGTACATCTAGATTTTATCGCAAATATAACTGTAAGTTCTAAAAACAGCTCCATAACACAGAATATGTGTATGTAAGTGTCAATGCCAGTACCGCGAACCAGTAGGAGAACAAGGGTTATGTTATGAACAGAATGCTGTTAATAGCATTACTGGTATGATGTGGGAGGAGCAATTCTTGTTAATGGGATCTGGCATTAACATACTGAGCCACTATTCCTCACAATCAAAGTGCCCCTCAAATCCGTGCGGAGTCAAGTTTCCAGTTTGAATCAAGCAGTTACAGCTCATGCACATAAGCTATGCAACTTTTACATTGGTTCTCCTTTGAAGCCGAGACAGAGAACCGAAGCATCTGTATGTTAATGCCAGATCCCATTAACAAAAATTGGTTAAGTTACCAGTAACCTCCACTATCGATTCTAAAAATAATATTGTTACGCCTCTTTATGGGCGTGGCATTTAAAAAAGTACCCTGTAATTTTTTCAGTTTTTTAGCGTAAGCATCCAAATTTAGCAACTAGGTTACGGTTAGATTGTTCCATGAGGTGGCCAAAAATGAAATGCCTACGCCCAGTAGGTAACGACCGACTGCAACGTTCTTACTTGTTATACCCTGAACTCATTGAAAATGGGAAATCAGGGTATAATGGT